TTTTTTTTAACTGTCAAATCCATTCATTCCCTAGGCTTCCTCAACTTATTAATCTCGCTCCAAATCTTTTTCTTATTTTCAACAAAATTGGTTGATAACATCTCACCCACTCTCTCATTTGCTCTCTTTTTACATTGCTTCACCACTCTCTTAACCTCACTTTTTCTCTCCATGTACTCCTCCCTCCTTGCATCACTTTTACTTTGTAAAAACCTCTCATATGCTAACTTTTTATCCCTTGCTACTCTCTTTACATCATCATTCCACCAATTGCTCTTCTTCCCTCCCACACCCACTTTCCTGTAACCACAAACTTCTGCTGAACATGCTAACACTACATTCTTAACCTACCTCGTACATCTTCAACCCCATTGCCTATACTCTCGCTAGCCCATCTACGTATCCTCCAATAGTTGTCTATATCTTACCTTATCTGCCTCCTCCTTTAGTTTATAAACCTTCACCTCTCTCTTACTTGCTGTTTCTATTTTCCTTGTATCCCATCTCACTGTAGCTACAACTAAAAAGTGATCTGATGTATCTGTGGCCCCTCTATAAACATGTACATCCTGAAATTTACTCGATAGTCTTGTATCTACTAATACGTCGTCCAGCAAACTACTGTCATTATGCCCTACGTCATATCTTGTATACTTATTTATCCTCTTTTTCTTAAAATATGTATTGCCTATAACCAAACCCCTTTCCATACAAAGTTCAATCAAAGGGCCCCCATTATCATTTACACCTGGCACCCCAAACTTACCTACTACACCCTCTCTAAATGTTTCTCCTACTTTAGTACTTAGGTCCCCTACCACAGTTACTCTCTCGCTTGGTTCAAAAGTTTCTGCACATTCACTTAACATCTCCCAAAATCTTTCTCTCCTCTACACTCCTCTCTTCTCCAGGTGCATAGACACTTATTATGACCCACTTTTTGCATCCTACCTTTATTTTAGTCCACATAATCTTTGAATTTTTACATTTATATTCCCTCTTCTCCTTCCATAACTGATCCTTGAACATTATTGCTACCCCTTCCTTAGCTCTAACACTCTCAGATAATCCTAGCTGAATCCCATATATTTGTTCCCATTGAAATTCGCCTTCCCCCTTCGGCTTTGTTTCACTTAGAGCTGGGACATCCACCTTCTTTTCATTCATAACATTAGCAATCATCTCTTTCTTATCATCCACGCATATTCAAGCATCCCAGTTTTATGAAGTTTTTCTTGTACTCTTTTTTTTAGTATTTTCTACAGAATGGTATGCTTAATCTTAAGTCTGCCTGAAATGCATTGCATAGCTGTGGGCTTTTTCATGTACAGCATATTGTGGAAAATAAACTTTTCTATGCTTTTCATGATTTTTGCCCTTGATTTTACTTATGAGAAAACTTATTTGGGATTTAATTAAATTTCATTATTGATGTTTAACCCTTTCACTGTCCAAACCTTCAAGATTAATATTGCTTCTAGCGTTCACTTTTTAAAAAATATATACAGTAGACCCTCATATTACGTGGTAGTTACGTTCCTGAATATGCCATGTTAAATAAATCCATGCTATATAAACTGAAGAACTTATGATAAAAGTAGGGTTACTTTCCTGGGACCACTCCAAAAGCCACACAATTTTTTTTTTTTTATATACATCCAGATCTTACAAAAATAAAAATGATAGTTGTTTTTGTTGCTTAAGACTACAAATGCAACAGAAATATTATTTCCAAACCATACCACGGGTGGGATTTGAACCCGCGGTCAGAGAGTCTCAAAACTCCAGACCGTCGCGTTAACCACTGGACCAGCTAGCCACAATAAGATTCGTCCAACTAGCTGGTGGCTAGCTGGTCCAGTGGCTATCACGACGGTCTGGAGTTTTGAGACTCTCTGACCGCGGGTTCAAATCCCGCCCGTGGTATGGTTTGTTTGCAATCGTGTCATTACGATTTCGTGAGTAATATTATTTCCCTTAAATTGTGTTTACTGCATGTATGTCAGTGATTGTGAAGAGAGTGGAGATGCATAGTGTGGCCCTACTGGGCTGAGGTGGATGGTTGTTGGTAGAAGTGGATGGTTGAGGTTCTGATACTGAAGTCGATGGTTGTAGAAGTGTCCATAAATTCTGTAATAGATCTGTGGCTTCTTTTACCCTGCAGTACATTATATATTATTCCAGAAGCTTGGTACTGCCAGGTTGGAGTCAGAGTTCATTGATGCAACTAGTTTTTTCATCACTTTCCTTGTGTAGTTACACTTGAGTGACTTAACTCCCCGATCCAGTGGTTGTATTAAAGAGGTAAAAATACAACTTTCACATGTGGGGTCACATCCAGCAAAGCTTCCGGATGAGTACGGGAATTATCAAGAATGAAGAGAGCCTTGAATGCAAGGTTCTTACTGTGCAGGTAAAACTGATTTCAGGAATAAAGTGATGCTTAATTAATTAATATTATTAAAGCAGTCAATAAATATTTCCTCTGTCATCCATACTGACTGGTTTGACCTCCAAATTACTGGTAAGGTGTTTTTATCTACACCTTTCAAAGCATGAGGATTCTTAGAGTTGTAAATAACCATGAGCTTACACTTGAAATCACCTGATGCATTACCACAAAGGAACAAGGTGAAGCAATCCTTTGCTGCCTTGAAGCCCAGTGCAGCCCTGTGGAAACGGTGATCTCACCCACAGCCAAGCGGCAGCCTGAGCTTGGGAAATATCCCGTGAGCAACATGCCAAATTTTTCCCCTCCTGCAAACCGAACCGTGTTAAGTTAATTTTACGAAGTGTTATAGAAAATTATGCTGCAATTTTTCAATAGTGCAATAACCAAAACGTGCCAAATAAATCTGTGTAATATGAGGGTCTACTGTATATTAAGTCCATTCAGTTGCTCCATTTGTCCAAGTCTTGGCTATTTCATGAGTATGCCTTCCTTTCTATTGGTTGACCACTAGACACCATCTATTTAACTATTACAACTACCTTATAAAATGCATAGAATTTGGTAATTTGGCCAGTTTTACACAAATTTAAAAAAAATGCTAATTTCAAAATAAACAATGTAGTCATTCCTGGAACTAAAACAACATTTCCTATGTTTATTTTTCACGTATATTACACTTGCGTTCCATTTTGAATTCATAATCATACAATAACAAAATTTACTCTATTTCCCAAATAATAAAATATTACCAGGAATGATTGGTCATGAATTTGGTGTTCCAATAATTGAATCAGACCTATTTAAAACCCATTAAACAGACCGGGGGAATGTAGGGGGGCCTTACGCATCCTTACGAAAATGGACAAAATTAATATTTTCACTTTTTTGAGCCTGATTTTAGGGTACCTCCATTCCTGAAACCAACCAAAATCATCTCTGTATCAGTAGTGTCTTTCATTCTATCAAATGATACCAAGAAACAGCTAATAAAATCATCATAGAAAATACTCCAAAGTTTCTTTCTACTAATAGATGAGGAAGATATTGCCAGAATAGAAGTACTATGGAAACCTACACAGTAGCAGATCAGCCAGGTTGTGGAGGTATGTGAGGCACAGGCAGCAACATCCTGGTTAATCAAGTTGGTCAGCATTGACAAAGACCTCAGGCTTGGCTGTGAGAGTAGGTTTCCAAACAGGGGACAGTAAGATAACTGTATCAACATCCATGGGCCTAGATTGTTCAACATTCTACCAGAGTATACTATCAGAAATACTGCCAGGCCAAGTGTAGAAACCTTTAAGAAGAAATGCACTCAGTATCTCTGCCAAGTGCCAGATGAACTAATTTGCAATAGATGTGTGGGCCATTGTGCTGCCAGAAGCAACATCATAGCTGACCAGCAGGCACCAGACAAGCCTGGCCCATGGCTAGGATGTGAGTAAAAAAGATCTCAAAACCAGTCACAGGTGTATCACAGGTATGCTGGAGTGAGAAGGCTATGATTACCAGAGCAAACATAAGTTCAGAGTATAAAAAAAAAAGATAATGTTAAAACTACTATGCATGATAGGTATATATATCAGATATTCCATGGGTTAGCTACTGTACAAGACTTCAGTAGTAGGTCATGTTACACTGTAATAAACTGTTTCATCAGTTAAGTAATGTAATTATCCATTTTCTGGCAGTACTAGGTTTAAAATTGGTTCAAGTGTTTATTTAGTGTTACATTTTACATATGTGCTGTAGTGTGTGTGTACCTTTGATATACATTTGAAGAGTTTCGAGAGTTCCTCTACTCTGAGCCCAGCCATGGGCCTGGCTCGTCTGGTGCTTGCCTGGTCAACCAGGCTGTTGCTGCTGGAGGCCTTCTGCCCCACATATCCATCACAGCCTGGTTGATCTGGCACCTGGTGAAGATGTTTGTCCAGTTTCCTCTTGAAGGCTTCTACACTTGTTCCAGCCATGTTTCTGATATCTTCTGATAAGATGTTATAGTCTGGGACCCCAGATGCTGATACAGTGCTCCCTTATTGTCCCCACCGCACCCCTGCTCCTCACTGGGTCTACTTTACACTTCCTCCCATATCTCTCACTCCAGTTTGTTATGGCAGTGTGCAGATTTGGGACCAGGCCTTCGAGTACTTTCCAGGTATATACATGTATTATCATGTATCTCTCCTCTGCTGCACTGAGTACAAGTTCAAGACAAGAAGGCATTCCCAGTAGTTTTGGTGCTTTACTGTCTCAGTGTGAGCTGTAAATGATCTTTTTACATATTTGTTCTAGCTCTGATACTTCTCCTGCTTTGAATGAGGCCATCAACGCTGAGCAATATTCTAAGTGAGGGAGCACTAGTGATTTGAAGAGTGTCACCGTCGGCGGCATTATTTCCCTTGTTTTGAAAGTCCTCAATACCCATCCCGTCATCTTCCTGGATGTGGTGATCTTTGTCTTGTGTAACTTCAGTGCAGTACATACAGTAACAATATTCGAAATTTATTCTTTTTCCTTATGGTTAATTTTGTTGTTGTCTTTTTTACAGGCATCAGTGGGGCGTACGAGTCAGAATCAAACGTGTGTGTGCACAACCCTATATGACTATGAGGCACAAGGTGATGATGAGCTCAGCTTACGTCATGGAGAAATCATTGAGGTTCTCAGTCAAGATGTTAAGATATCGGGAGATGAAGGATGGTGGACTGGGAAGATCAATGGGAAGGTGAGTGCCTCCTAATGTACCAGTTGCCTTTGTATCCCTGACCTGCTTACATGTTTTAGGCATTATATAATAATTTTACACTTCAGCTGTCCCGAAATTATTACAATAGTGAGGTGCAGGGACTGAAGGGTCTGGACCACATAAAGTATTGTACTATACAGTACACTACTTTTTTTTTTTTATCATTCAGCAAAATTCATTGATTACAAATTTTTGATCTGTAACAGCCTCATTGAATAGATCCCTCACAGCCCATGAAAGCATGTAATGTATGGTCTTATTTAATATACTAGTAACCAGCTGGTGCTTAAAAAGTGAAACTTGAAAATTGAAAGATATTCCCATAGTCTGATAGTGACTCCAACTTTACTTTGGTAGCTGCCTTAACTTGCAACAAAGATACTAAAATGTCAGTGATTATTGTTTTGAGTTGGCAGTCCAGTTGTTCCAAATTCAGATCACTGTTTGAAGGAATCTGTGGAACTGTTAATGTCTAAATTAAGTTTTTACTTTATGTAGGTCTGTATAAAAATATTTCCACTAAGTTGTTTCCCTATTCAACTACATAAGAGGAATATAAATAACAAGAAAAGGCACAATACCGTGACTGGAACAATACACAAATAACCCACACATAGAAGAGAGGAGCTTACGGTGACGTTTCGGTCCGACTTGGACCATTTACAAAGTCAGTGTGACTTTGTAAATGGTCCAAGTCAGACCGAAACGTCGTCGTAAGCTCTTCTCTTCTATGTGCGGGTTATTTGTGTAATAGAAATATACTGTTGTACCTTCTTGATAAATTTTTAAGCACCAACATTGTGACTATTCAGGTTGTTGGGCAGGGCGGTCTGGTTTGAAATTGGGATATGGGTGAGATGATTTCATGGAACCTGCTCTCTAGCCCTTTAATGGGTTGACTTGTAAACACACTATTTCAGTTTGCTATGAATGGGTCACTTTGCCTTACTATGTAGGCCTGGGGGCACCAACAGCCTGATTGATCAGGCAGTCAACAGTGAAGTGTGACAGTAGAGCTCAAAATCTGTCCCAGGTATTAATGTGATAACACTCTGCCTGAAACTCAAGAACCACAGACTCAACCACCATTTTCAAAACTACAGTGGACCCCCGGTTAACGATTTTAATCCGTGCAAGAGGGCTCATCGTTATGCGAAATAATCGTTATGCGAATCAATTTTCCCCATAAGAAATAATGGAAATAAAATTAATCCGTGCAAGACGCCCAAAAGTATGAAAAAAAATTTTTTTTACCACATGAAATGTTAATTTTAATACACACAAACTGAAAAAGGCATGCACAATTAAATGACACTTACTTTTATTGAAGATCTGGTGATGATTGATGGGATGGGAGGAGGGGAGAGCAATATCTTCTTACTGTTTAGAAGGGGAATCCCCTTCCATTAGGACTTGAGGTAGTAAGTCCTTTTCTGGGGTTACTTCCCTTCTTCTTTTAATGCCACTAGGGCCAGCTTCAGAGTCGCTGGACTTCTTTCGCACAAGATATCTGTCCATAGTGCCTGTACCTCTCGTTCCTTTATGACTTGCCTAAGTGTTTCACAACATTGTCAGTGTAATAATCACCAGCACGGCTTGCAATAGCTGTGTGAGGGTGATTTTCATCCATGAAGGTTTGCACTTCAAGCCACTTAGCACAGATTTCCTTAATCTTTGAGTAGCAACTTCTTCAATTTCTCTCTCCCCTCCTCCGAAGCAATTTCCTCAGGTGTGGCCTCTTGCTGTTGAAGTTGATCTAGTCAGCTCATCAGTGGTTAGTTCTTCATTGTCCTCCTCCACCAACTCTTCCACATCCTCCCCACTAACCTCCAACCCCAAGGCTTTCCCAATGCCACAATGGATTCCTCAACTGGCACAGGATTCTCAGGGTTAGCCTCAAACCCTTCAAAATCCCTTTTGTCTACACATTCTGGCCACAGTTTCTTCCAAGCAGAGTTCAAGGTCCTCTTTGTCACTTCCTCCCAAGCTTACCTATAAGGTTTACACAATTGAGGATGTTAAAGTGATCTCTCCAAAACTCTCTTAGAGTCAGTTGAGTTTCTGAGGTCATTACAAAGCACCTTTCAAACAGAGCTTTTGTGTACATGTTTCTTGAAGTTGGAAATAACCTGCTGGTCCATGGGCTGCAGGAGAGGAGTGGTATTAGGAGGCAAAAACTTCACCTTAATGAAGCTCATGTCCCCATAAAGTCGCTCTGACACGTCTGTAGGATGACCAGGGCATTGTCTAACACCAGGAGGCACTTAAGTTCTAATTTCTTTTCAGTTAGGTAATTTTCACATTGGGGGCAAATGCATGGTGTAACCAGTTATAGAAAAATTCCCTAGTGACCCATGCCTTACTGTTTGCCCTCCACAGCACACACAAATTATCCTTGAGGACATTCTTTTGCCTGAACGCTCTGGGAGTTCAGAGTGATACACTAATAAAGGCTTCACTTGCAATCACCAGTAGCATTGGCACACATCAACAAAGTAAGCCTGTCTTTCATAGGCTTATGTCCTGGGAGTGCCTTTTCCTCCTGAGTAATGTAGGTCCTGCTTGGCATTTTCTTCCAGAACAGGCCTGTTTCATCACAATTAAACACTTGTTCAGGTTCAGTCCTTCAGTTTCTATGTACTCCTTGAATTCCTGCACATATTTTTCAGCCGCTTTGTGGTCCGAACTGGCAGCCTCACCATGCCTTATCACACTATGGATGCCACTACGCTTCTTAAATCTCTCAAACCAACTTTGCTGGCCTTAAATTCACTCACATCATCACTAGTTGCAGGCATTTTTTTAATTAAATCGTCATGCAACTTCCTAGCCTTTCACATATGATCGCTTGAGAGACGCTATCTCCTGCTATCTGTTTTTCATTTATCCACACCAATAAGAGTCTCTCAACATCTTCCATCAATTGCGATCTTTGTTTCGAAAACACAGTTGAAACCTTTGGCAAGAACAGCTTCCTTGATTGTCTTTCTGGTGCCCACAATAGTAGCGATGGTTGATTGGGGTTTCTTGTACAGCTTGACTAGGTCGGCTATACGCACTCCACTTTCATACTTATCAATTATCTCTTTCTTCATCTCTATAGTAATTCTTACCCTTTGAGGTGTAGGGTTGGCACTAGAAGCTTTTCTTGGGCCATGGTCACTTATTTCCAGAAACAGCACCGAAAATACTGTAATAATACGAAATATTCCGAGTGTATGCTTGGATGTTACCGCGGAGGCTGGCTGGTAAACAATGGGACGGAGCGGCACATGTGAGGCTGGCTGAGGGCACATTGGACGCGTCTCGGACGAAAATCGGTATGCGGGTTTTTAATCGGTATGCGGGGCAAAAATTTTCCGATAAAAGTAATCGTTATGCGGAAAAATCGCTATGCGATGCCATCGTTATGCGGGGGTCCACTGTACTGTTAAAAAACATATCTCCCTAACACACCCCATCATCAGCTAAGCAAATGCAAACCACCCAGTTCTCTTTTTTGGTATCATGAACACATCCAAAACAGCATAGACTTACTCATGTTATCTGTAATTCCCCCATAACTTACACCTACACCCACCCAAATGACTGTAAACATACAATTCCTAATATGGCTATTGCCTATTAAATCTTAAGTTAGTCCTATTAAATCTTGAGTTAATCCTCAGTTTGTCTAAGATACTCCTCCACTATGCCTTTAATAGAAACAATGTATCATGCCAAGACAAATCAAATCCCATTACTAAATGTACCATTTGTAATAATATTAAAGGACTTGGACTACCTAACTATTTTAAACTTAATTTGTATGTACCTATCTTGCATACCTAATAATATGTTCAAATGTACTGCTTAAATATAACCTATATCAAAATAGTGTAAGAATTAGTATTAGTATGCCCAAAGTGCCTAGGCACGATAGTGGCCATCTTTGTAATTAAGGTAAACCGCACATTGTAAGCTTTACAAGGAAATAAATGTTTGTGACTACAGTAACTTGGACTGTTTATGGGACACTGTTTAACAAATAATGTTTATAAACCACAAGTGAAATAAAACATTGCCCTCCCCTTCCCTCCTTGGCCTCGTCTCAAACCAGATTTCCTGGTTAATAGCCTGATCAGTCAAATTGTTGGTTATTAGCATGCAGTCCAAAGTAGGCACCACAATCTGGTCTCGGTCACAATTATTATCTAGTTCACAGGGATTGGTTTGATTTTCTCTTGTGTATGAATTTAAGGGAAAAACCTCAGTATCAAATAGTCATTATATGTCTGATTATAATGTTATACGAATTTTAAGATAGCTGAAAGTAATTTCTGTTTGAAGATTTTACATTTTTTGTACCAAATTTTGAATTAGTTTTGGGGTAGTACAGGTGGGCCCAGGTCATACAGCAGGTTAGGTTCTGGGCTACTGCTGTAAAGTATAAATTTCTGTAAAGGAAAACATAGCTTTCTTTCCACTTTCAAATGCATATCGAAGCCTGATAACATGTTTACATTATCATGTATTAAGTGAACAATAGAGCTAGTTCTAAAACATGTGCATTTACAGTGTACACATTACTTACCTCAAAATATTTTTGTCCTTAGCTTATAGTGAGTAGCAAGTAAGTTTATTTAGGTACAGGTACACACAAATACAGTTACACAGATTATCATACATAGTAACATGTGTGTGTGTAAATTACCTAGGATAACCCCAAAAAAGTCAATGAATATACATGTACAGCGGTCCCTCAATTATCGTCCTTAATCCGTTCCTGGAAGTGGGACAATTATCGAAATAGATGATTTTCGAATCAATTTTCCCCATAAGAAATAATGTAAATCCAATTAATTCGTTCCAGAAGTATCAACAACAATTTTTTTTTTCCTAAAAGATAGATTTACATGCACAAAAGAATGAACATTCAACATGACAGTTATCTTTATTGAAGGCTGTTGTTGATGAATGGAAGACAGGGAGGAGGAGGGAGGGAAGAGAGGTTATTGTTTGGAAGGGGAATCCCCCTCCATAAGGACTCTAGGTCACTTCAGGGGTCACTTCCCAAGCATAAATATAGATTTACATGCAGAAAAAAATGCCAAATAAATGTAAAGCACTAATAAAATGTATAAATGAACATTGGTAATAGGGGTAGTTGATGAGTGGAACGGTCTGCCTAGTAGGGTGATCGAAGCTAAAACATTGGGTAATTTCAAATTTAGGTTGGATAAATACATGAGTGAGAGGGGTTGGATTTGAGTCGGACTTGCACCTGAGCTTATTGCTTGGGTAGCATTTGTTCTGTTAGTGGGTTGGATTTGTGAAGGACTGGCCTAGTATGGGCCAGCAGGCCTACTGCAGTGTTCCTCCTTTCTTATGTTCTTATTGGAGACTTGTTTGTGTGAGGGAGGGATGGTAAGCTTATTGTTGGAGAATAAATACGGCTTATTTATCTATCACAATTCAACTAATATGACATAATAAACAATATTAATAACATAGAAACATGGAATATACTCTAGAATGAATAAAATAAGTCATTACGCATGTCACGAGAGGTGTTGTGTTGTTGTTGGGTATATAAGGGCCACCGAGAGTAAGCCATCCATAATGGTGGTGAAGCAGCAGCTGAGGCGGTGGTGTTTTCTGTAGCCCTATATAACTCCAACAACATTGGAGGAGTTAGTAGAATTGCTGAATCACTAAAGAAAGACTCCTCTACCACCATCACTACCACCTTCTACCACTATTACAACTGTTACCACCATCACTACTACCTTCTACCACCATCACTACCACCATCAACCACTATCACAACTGCTTCCACTCTACCACCACCACCTTTGTATTTTTCTACAAACTTTTTCATAAATTATGTGTGTTTCTCATATTCTTTACCAAAGGGCTGGCACTAGAAGCTTTCTTTGGAGCCATGGTAGCTTATTTAGCACTCGCAAGCACTAAAATCAATGGAATATTATGAAATATTTCGTAGGAGCAAGTGAGGGGACCGTTGCTCACTGGTAAACAATAGCACACTGGCTGGGAAGGCAGGCCCAGGCGGCTCAGAGCGTGAGTACGCGTCCTGGACGAAGGACGATTAGTGAGTTAACGGACCATTTGCGAGCCAATGTTTAGACGAAATAACGGGACTATTTCCGAAATGGATGACTTTCAGGCCGGACGATTATTGAGGGACCACTGTATATATCTTAGGAAGTCTGAATAAATGAAGAATGGGTATAGCTGAAAACTGTGTCATTAGTGAAACACCATAAAGCAAAGCATTGTAAAGTGGGGACCTCCTGCATTGATTTTTGTAAAGGTTTAAAGCTTTATGTACTGTAACTGTCATGTATATAAATTCTCTTCATTTTTAAAATCGGGGGATAAGTCCACTCCTTCAAATTACCGTCCAATAAGCCTGACATCAATAGTGGGCAAGTTATTAGAATCAATTATAGCTGACATTATCAGAAGTCACCTTGAGGAGCATAACTTGATAAATGAATCTCAGCATGGATTCACGAGAGGTCGTTCCTGCCTGACAAACTTGCTGACGTTCTTCAATAGAACATTTGAGGCAGTTGACAGTGATAAGGAATATGATATTGTTTATTTGGATTTTAGTAAAGCCTTCGACAGAGTACCTCACAAGAGACTCTTAAGAAAAGTGGCAGCTCATGGTATAGGAGGTAAAGTTCTAGCATGGATTGAGGCATGGCTTACCAATAGAAAGCAGAGAGTTACAATTAATGGAGTGAAATCTGAATGGGGATTAGTCACTAGTGGCGTTCCACAAGGATCAGCTTTAGGCCCTCTCCTGTTCATAATTTACATTAATGACCTTGATGAAGGGATTACTAGTGACATGAGTAAGTTTGCTGATGATACAAAGATAGGCTGTATAATTCACTCTGAGGAGGATATCAATGAACTCCAGGACGATTTGAACAAATTAATGTCTTGGTCTGAAAAATGGCAGATGAAGTTTAATGTGGATAAGTGTAAGGTACTTGCCCTTGGTAATGAAAATAACCCTCGAAGCTATAATCTAGGTGAAGTAGAGCTTGATCATACAGAATGTGAAAAAGACTTGGGAGTCATGGTAAGCAGAAATCTAAAGCCAAGACAGCAGTGCCTTAGTGTGTGCAACAAGGCCAACAGATTACTTGGATTTATCTCAAGAAGTATAAGTAACAAAAGTCCAAAAGTTATTTTACAGCTCTATACATCACTAGTGAGGCCTCATTTAGATTATGCTGCTCAGTTTTGGTCCCCTTACTACAGGATGGATATAGACTCATTTGAGAACATACAGAGAAGAATGACTAAAATGATTTACTGTGTAAGGAACCTTCCGTATGAAGATAGACTTAAAGCCTTAAATCTCCACTCTCTTGAGAGGCGTAGAATGAGGGGAGATATCATTGAAGTGTATAAGTGGATGACGGGCATAAACAAGGGAGACATTAATAAAGTACTGAGGGTGTCGAACCAGGTAAGAACCAGGAATAGTGGATTTAAGTTGGATAAATTTAGATTTAGAAAGGACATAGGTAAGTACTGGTTTTCTAACAGAGTTGTAGATGCGTGGAACAGTCTTCCCAGTGGGGTGATAGAGGCTAGGACCTTGTGTAGCTTTAAGAAGAGACTGGACAAATATATGAGTGGGAGGGGCTGGGTTTGATTGGTGTCATGGGGTACGGGAGTTATTTCTTGGGTAGCTTTAGGTAGATGTCGTTTTGATAAGGACCTGCCTCGTATGGGCCAGTAGGCCTTCTGCAGTATTCCTACATTCTTATGTTCTTATGTTCTTAAAAGGTTCACACATGTGGTGCAGATGGGTTAGCTAAGCATTGCTTAAAGGAGAGGGATGAGGGAGGTGATAGCTTAATTTTGAGGCAAATTGTGTATCTCAAGAGAATAGGGATACAGTACCCTCTCAAGGTTTGCCTAATTTTATCAAACCATACCTACATGGAATCTGCCTGGAGTGTCCTAGGGTCAATATCCCTTTGGCCCAGGCCCAAATCAGGTCTTTCAATGGATGACCTAATCAACCAGGTTGGTGATGCTAGCCACATGAAGTCTGGCATATACTTCACAGCCCAGTTGTTCAGGAACTGACCTGAGGAACTTTCTAATTAGTATTAGTGTATTATACCTATATTAGGTACATTCTGTTGGATTCCATATTTTTTAAGTCTTCTTTTTTAGAGATGAATGCAGACTTCAGATACTTATGATCATAATGCAGAACTTTCTATTACAGTTTCATCTGTTTCCAGATAGCTTTTATTAGATTAGTTCTACTATATAGTATATAAAAATTTGTCTGATTATTTTTGCTTTCGTTTTTAGGTTGGCATCTTCCCATCGAATTTTGTGGCAGAGGTCCAGAACATTAAGGATGTGGAACCAGTTGAAATTGACTTCAATGAGCTGGAATTGGAAGAGGTGATTGGGGTTGGGGGCTTTGGCAAGGTGTATCGGGGATTATGGCGTGGCGAAGAAGTGGCGGTGAAGGCAGCAAGGCAGGACCCCGATGAAGACATTAGTGTCACCATTGAAAATGTGCAGCAAGAGGCTAAACTGTTCTGGCTCCTAAAACATGAAAACATAGTAGCATTAAAGGGGGCGTGTCTTGTTGAACCTAATCTGTGTCTAGTGATGGAATATGCAAGGGGAGGCTCTTTGAATAGAGTTCTTCAGCAAAGAAAAGCTATAGGCCCTTCTGTGCTTACAGACTGGGCAATCCAGATTGCCCGAGGCATGAACTACCTCCACAATCAAGCCCCAGTCAGGATTATTCATAGAGACCTCAAATCTTCCAATGGTAAGTACTAGATCATTTTGTTTTGTAATGAGTTTTCTTTTATGGAAGTCCCAAGGTGTCATAACACCTGCAGCCTGATCTGATCAGTAACCTTGAAAAGGAACATGCAAGCTCCTTGCCAATGACAAGTGTTGGTAACTATTCTTACATTTTATGAAGGTATTTAAAAGCATTGGGGCTTTGATGTATTGAGTTCTTTCTAGTATGCTTGCTTTTTTTACTGGAGCTGTTTAGCACATGGTGTTTATCCAAATTCTCTTGTAGGATACAAATTTGAACCAATACAATGCCAGATCAGGTCTGTGTGCCTCAAGCAGCAACAGTCTTGTTGACACAGCAGTCACCAGTGAAGTCTGGCCTCAGGCCAAGCAAGCATTGATAGTAGAAAAAAATCTAAAAACCTCTCCATTTGCCTTCTCTTTCTCAGAAACACTCATGTACTGTACTTCTGATTCTGGTAGATTTTTCTAGTAGTGCATTGTCAGAACACTTATGAGTACTGCCTTAAGTAGTATTGCTTTGCAACCCTTCTTTATTTTTTTTATTTCAACATGTCAGCCATCTCCCACCGAGGCAGGGTGACCCAAAAAAGAAACACTTTCCCCATCATTCACACATAATCACTGTTTTTGCAGAGGCACTCAGATACAGCAGTTTAGATGTCACTCCAAACAACCAATATCCCAGACCTCTCCTTTAAAGTGCAGGCATTGTAATTCCCACCTTCAGGACTCAAGGCTTGTAACTGGTTTCCCTGAATCCCTTCACAAAATATTACCCTTCTCGCACTCCAACAGCTCATCAGGTTCCAAAAACCATTCATCTCCATTCACTCCTATCTTGTAAAATTTAATACTGTACTTCATATTTCTCCAGGTTCTCCCACGTCAGTCAGCATGTTGACATTTTTCCTTTCGTTTTCTTCTCTTGGTTTGAGCTTCCTTGTTCCTTTCAGCTTCCCCAAAAGATGTCAGATGTTTTCCTTTACTCTTTCCTTATCCTTTAGGTTATTGCCTTGATAGTGATAAAGACTCTTGATCCAAGGAATTGGTAATGCATCCCATTTTGTGGATCACACTTGATTGCCTCCCATTCCCCAGGCACAGAATGAGCCTCAAAAGTTCGACGAATCCCCAAGAATATATTAATGCATAATCTTCTTTCCTTAGTCTTAATAGTTTATACCTCCTTATCTTCTTATACTATATAGTACCTCTCTTGCTTTTATCTTTGTCATTGCTGTCTATATACTGTCCTTTAGTAGGTCAGTGTAACTTTGTCTCATTGACTTCTCCATCCTACTTCCCCTCTCCTTCCTACTTCTGCTCCCCTACCTTCAACTTACCATTCCCTCCCTTTTCCACAGTTTCTCTATTATCCTTGTAAATCTTCTCTCTTAAGATGTTCTGTTACCTGTTTTAACTTTTCCCCTCTTCTCATTTCTCCATTTCTTTTAACTATTATCTTGTGTTCCTTTCTGATTCTTGCCTGTCATTTATCCCCATTCCTCTTTCATCAAACTCCATTCATCTACCAACAAATCCCATTCCTATGTCAATCAACCCCATTTGTCTATCATTCAACCCCCTTGATCAACAGTTTTCCAAGCCCTTCCCTAAATCGAGTGTTCCATAAACACCCACATCCATCTCGTCCAGCATTCACTTACAAAATTGTCTTATGATTCAACCTTGTGGTTCTACCTTTTACCTTTCACTCCTTCCATTTCCTTTCACATTTTTTTCCTGCTGGTGTTGATGACGAGGGAAAGTGGTTTGGTGTGGTGGTGGTCAGCTTGTGACTAGTGGTGCGAGTTACTGATTGTGGTACCTTACCTGTTAGTGGTGTAGATGGGTGATTATTTATGGATGTAGCAGGTTGAGGTGTTAGGTAAGACACATGCAACAGTTAGGTATCTTTATTTTGAAACGTTTCGCCTACACAGTAGGCTTCTTCAGTCGAGTACAGAAAAGTTGATAGAAGCAGAAGATACTTGAAGACGATGTAATCAGACTGATTACATCGTCTTCAAGTATCTTCTGCTTCTATCAACTTTTCTGTACTCGACTGAAGAAGCCTACTGTGTAGGCGAAACGTTTCAAAATAAAGATACCTAACTGTTGCATATGTGTCTTACCTAACAATCTGTCGGTATTTTATACCATTTTAATGTTCATTCAGCAGGTTGAGGTGATGTGTAGGGGTAGTTTGACTTTGGTGGGTGGTAGGTTGGTGTTATTTGCGGTGGTGTAGCGGTTTATTTTGGTGATTGTGTGGTGGGTGGATTAGTGAATGATGCGGTGATGGACAAGCGATGCTGTGAATGGTGTTGTGTATATGACGTTTATTGTATGGCTTTGGTGAATGAATGAATGTTGTTTTGTCAATTAATGTATAGTTTTGGTATTGAGTAGTACTAGTAGTAGTGTTACTGAAGGTTAGGGTGTGGGTCGCCAGTAGTGGTGTTGGTAGTGAGTATTTGTGTCGATGTGGTAGTGAAAATGATTTTAATGTTATGGTATAGGTGTGGTGTAGGTGTGGCGGCGGCAGCAGCAGGCAGCAGCAGCAGCAGCAGCACGTGGTTGGTGGGGGCAATGATGGTTTGGAGGGGAGGGGAGGGAAGAGGAGAGGAGGGGGGGAAGTCAGTGTCTTGATCGATACTCTGGCTGCTCCTTCACCACTACACCTCGCTTCTCCCCAACCTCCCCACACTTCTCTCCCTACCCCACCCCATTATAACGCCCTTTCCCCCCATTATAACGCCCCTTTCCCCCATTATAACGCCCCTTTCCCCCCATTATAACGCCCCTTTCCCCCATTATAACGCCCCTTTCCCCCCATTTTTAAACGCCCCTTTCCCCCATTATAACGCCCCTTTCCCCCCATTATAACGCCCCTTTCCCCCCCATTATAACGCCCCTTTCCCCCATTAAATTTCCCCCATTATAACGCCCCTTTCCCCCCATTATAACGCCCCTTTCCCCCATTATGACGCCCCTTTCCCCCCATTAAAACGCCCTTTCCCCCCATTATAACGCCCCTTTCCCCCCATTATAACGCCCCTTTCCCCCCCTCCCATTTCTGGCCTCACTACCGCTCAGTCCCCTGCAAAATCCCATCCCTTTCTCACCTCTACTTCTCACTCCCCTCCCTCTTTTCTTTTTCCCACTCCTCTCCCTCAGTCCTCCACACTCCTCTCCCTCAGTCCTCCACACTCCTCTCCACACCCCTCTCCATCCTCTCCCCCGCTCACACCTCTCCTCCATACCCCTCTCCCTCCTCTTTTTTTTTTTTACACAGGGTTTGACAAGGTTAAGGATCCCTAGCTTTATTGACAGCTATATTACAGGTTAAGGATTCCTAACTTTATTGGCAAGCTAAGAGCTGTTACCTACATCAGCTCATTTGAAAGCATTTTTATTGTTATGAGACATACAAGTAGGGAATAGGATGAAGTTGGAGCCATCTGTGGGCCAGCATTTTCATTTGATCAACTGACTTTATCTCGTTGACATCATTATGCTGTACGAATGTGTTCCATACTCGAGTCATCCTGGGTATGTATGATCTCAGATGGAGTGATGTTCTGGAGAAGGGTACAGCCAGAGTGAAGTTGCTGCTTTCTGCCCGTCTTGTGGCATAAAAGCTTGTTTCACGCTGTCCTCGAAGTGGATCCAAGTGTGGTATTTTGACAATTTATTGGCCTTGTACATAACAGTAAGGCCACCCACATCCCTCCTATGTTGAAGGCTCTGCTGAAATGACAGATCTACCCAGGATGGGTCCAGGCGAGAGATGAGACGTCTTGCTCTGTTCTCTACTCTGTCAAGCAGTCGCAGATGAGAGGGGGGGCAGGCAAACCAAGAAAGTGGAGCATACTCAAGGTGTGAGCGTACTTGTGCCTCGTACAGGATCTTGCAACCCCTACTGTCAAGCAGATGCGAGATACGGCGAAGTGCTGTAAGCTTCCTGGCTGCCTTGTTTGCAAGATTTACAACATGGTTCTTCATGGTTAATTTGGAGTCAAATTTCACCCCAAGGATATCAACTTCTTCTCCAGGTGCCATACCCCTCTCCCTTCTCTTCTCCATACCCCTCTCCCTCCTCTTTCCTCTATACCCCTCTCCCTCCTCTTTCCTCCATACCCCTCTCCCTCCTCTTTCCTCCATACCCCTCTCTCTCCTCTTTCCTCCATACCCCTCTCCCTCCTCTTTCCTCCATACCCCTCTCCCTCCTCTCTCCTCCACACGCCTCTCCTTCCAGCCCACCCCTCTCCTGCCCACCCCTCTCCTGCCCACCCCTTTCCTTTCCATCCCTCTCCCTCCCATCCCTCTCCTGCCCATCCCGCTCCTGCCCTCCCCTCTCATGCCCATCCCTCTCCTGCCCATCCCGCTCCTGCCCATCCGGCTCCTGCCCTCCCCTCTCATGCCCATCCTCTCCTGCCCTCCCCTCTCATGCCCATACCTCTCCTGCCCTCCTCTCTATTGCCAGCCCCTTACCCTCTCTTACCCATCCCTCTCATGTTCACCCCTCTCCCTCCTCTCTCCTGCCCACCCTCTCCCACTCCACCTCCCCATTCCTTACCATCCCCCCCCCTCTCTCTGTCTCCTCCCCACCCCTCTGCCTCCTTACTCCTCCCCACCCCTCTGCCTCCTCACTCCTCCCCACCCCTATCCTCACCTCTCCTCGCTCCTCCTCACCCCTATCCTCACCTCTCCTCGCTCCTCCCACCCTCTCCTCACTCTCCACCCCTCTCCTCACTCCTCCCCACTAATCCCACCCACTCTCCCCACTCCTCCCCACCCCTCTCCCTCCTCCCCTCATCTCTCCCTCCTCCCCTCGTCTCTCCCTCCTCCCACGTCTCTCCCTCCTCCCCACGTCTCTCCCTCCTCCCCACGTCTCTCCCTCCTCCCCACGTCTCTCCCTCCTCCCCACGTCTCTCCCTCCTCCCACGTCTCTCCCTCCTCCCCACGTCTCTCCCTCCTCCCCACGTCTCTCCT